TTTATGTTAATTAATAATTAATAATTAATTTAATTTGTGGGACCTTCTTGGTTATTACCTAAAGTAGTAATTATTACTTAAAGTAGTAAGTCAAAGGATTATTTTTTGAATATGAGAGAAATCATCATAATTAGGTAACAAAATCCGAAAATTCTTGGAAGGCAATGCACATGCGAACACAAAATTTGCACAGAATCAACTAAAAATAGTTTAAAATTACTTAATGGAAGGATTGATTTATGATATTCCGTATTTTTATGTTAATTAATAATTAATAATTAATTTAATTTGTGGGACCTTCTTGGTTATGACCTAAAGTAGTAATTATTACTTAAAGTAGTAAGTCAAAGGATTATTTTTTGAAGTCAAACTTACTTTTTTTGTATTTTTCCAACAACCTCTTTATATAGATTATAGATTATAGATTAATGTATAATTTTATTTTGAATATTTTATTTTTACAAATGAAAAATGAAAAAAAAAATATTAAAAAAAAAAATGCAAGGATCCATTTCTTTTCCTCACTTTAATCCAAATTTCAAATTGCATCACCATATTTAATTTAAGTGGCCATCTAAATGTATTATTTTATTTTCTGAGTGTTCATGAATTGTGAGCGGCTAACAAAACAAAAAAAATCGCAAAAAATTATTATTAATTATTATTATGTTTTCTCAATTTCCACCATTTTATTATAATAAACAAAAAAAAATATCATTATAGGTTTTCTCAAAAAATACTATTCATCAATTCATAAATATGATAAATATTTAATTTATTCATAACAAAAAAATATTCATAAATTTCCTATATCATCATCATAACTCTTATTTCCTTTAACTAATTAACTGTTCCATTTTTTGTAAATAAAAAAGATATTACAGGGGACCCCCACTCAAATCCTCACTTCCCCCAAATATTCATAATACCCTAACCCCCAAAACCCTAGATTTCAAATTCTTTCAAACCTATCTGATGCTGCCCAAATTCAGCTCACTACCTTTATTCCGATCCCCAATCCACAAGCCAATCTCCCCTCACATTCTTCTCCAGCTCACCGCCTCAATCTCCTCCCTGAAAGTCGTGTGGCGAAAGGACTATAAGCTCGATCAAGCCATCGAGAACGACAAAAAATGGCGTCTCTGTGCTAGGGTCGTAAGAGAGGTCATAAACGAACCGGGTCGGGCCATCCCTCTTCGCTACTTGGAAAACCGCCGCGCGCGACTTCGTCTGCGCGTCAAAGCTCGAACCTTTATCGACAAAAACCCAGGCTTGTTCGACGCCTACATGGACAGAGTCAGGCCCAGATCCGACCCGACTACCTTCATTCGGGCCAGTGACCGACTGAACCGGTTCCTGGAGGAGGTGAAAGCAATCTACGAGGCGAACGAGCCACGGATCGTCGAAAAGCTTTGTAAACTGCTGATGATGGCCAAGGACAGGGTCATCAGCGCAGATAAACTGGTCGAGGTGAAGAGGGATTTCGGTTTTCCTGATGATTTTCTGGTTAATTTAGTACCAAAATACCCTGAATATTTCAGGCTGTACGGCGAGCCCGGAGAAGGAAGATCCTTTCTCGAGCTGGTCGAATGGAATAACGAGTTTTCCCGATCGGTTATCGAAAAACGGGCGGACGATGAGTATGAATTGACCGGGATCAGGGTTCGGCCTGCATTCGTCTGGAAGCTTCCTCCGGGCTTTTTCATAAAGAGGGGGATGAAGGACTGGGTTAAGGACTGGATGGAATTGCCTTATATTTCTCCTTACGAGGACATCTCGAATTTAAGTCCCGCCTCGCCGGAGATGGAGAAAAGGATGGTCGGTGTTTTTCACGAGCTGCTCTCGCTATCGGTCCATAAGCGGGTCCCAGTGCCGGTGCTCGGAAAATTCTGCCACGAGTTCAGATTCTCGAACGCTTTCGCGAGTGTCTTCACGAGGCATTCGGGGATTTTCTACATGTCGCTCAAGTGTGGGATTCAGACTGCTGTGTTGAGGGAGGCGTATAAGGGCGAGGAGTTGGTTGATTGCGACCCGATTCTTGAGATTAAGGGTAAATTTATCGAGTTGCTGAACGAGGGGCAGAAGATGAGGGCCGATCGGTTTAGGGTGAATAGGGATGTGATTCGGGAGGAT